GAGGTCGGGTGCTTTGGAGTGCGTTGTGAGCCACCATGCACTACCGAACACAGAGGGGTGAAGCCGCGCCCCTGGTGCTGAAGGAGCGTGAGCTGCAGTATTTTTCCCGGTGAAACGAGTGCTCGCAAGACCGGGAAATCCCACATTCAGAAAATCCAGCAAACTTCTGATCACTTCCTTAGGAGAAATGTTTTTTAACTACAAAACGTGGTCTGAAGTGGTGCTACCCAGATAGCAGGTCGTAATCGGCCAGAGCTCGGCTGCCCTTCGGCGCCTCCGGCTCCGGCTCGGCATCGGCGAGTGTTATCCAGGCCGAGTATGGCCCGCAGCTCGCTCCCGCACATGCCTTTGTGATGCGGCTGTAAACCACTGTCCCGATTCCTGTTGACCATATCTGGCCCGAGTATGTCTGTAGAGTCCGAGCCGCTTCTGGCAAGGACTCTCCAGTGTGGCAGCAGAACGCGGCTTCAGCCTCCAGAACAAATTTAAAACTGTTAGGAGAAGTCGACTTTCCGAAGCAAAGACACAGAATATAATGACAACCGCCTCGGCATCAGTCTCTCTTGATGCGTTTGATTACGCACAGGCAAGCACCCAGTTCAGGTCGACGCAGGAGGAAGATATGAGTTAAGGCAGATATGAGTTTTTGTTCACTTGTCAAATAAATAAATTAATAATTTAGCCTATCTGCTCGCCGTGCAAGTTCATTATTAAAATATGAATAAAAAAAGCGATTAGAAAATATGCAAATTAATTGACAGTCAATAATAGGTTATGACGGAATTTTTACAACCCTCTCCGTCAAAATGACGGACAATGACAAAGTCTAACGCAATCTCTGACCTTAACCCTTCCTTAAACCTACCAATACCACCAATGCTGCGCATAACCTGACCTGTATCCCAACTCAAGAGCAGCAGAAGCGTTCTGCAATACAATTTCAACACGCTAAGTGCATTGTATTTATTTTTTGATGCAAGTACATAGTAGTTAAGGACGCTTAATATAAAGTGGGAGCAAATAATCTGTCCTAAACACCCTTTGCATGTTGATTCTGCATAATCCTGTTAACTTTAATGCCACCAATGCTTGCATGCGCAGCCCAGCTGACAAACCACACTTGCTAGACTGCAGAGGAACATGAAGGGCAGTGCAGGGGACAGAAAGGGGTGGGGCAGTGGACAGGAAGTTGTGTATGTGTGATTGTTACCTAAATCCATACTCTTGGACTTGCGACTCTGGATGATGTCCAGTTGAGTAGGGTCGCTGTATTGTTTGGTCCGCTTTTCTGACATGCTTTGCCGGCCAAAGCCTTCCCTCTGAAACATATCCATATCCATATCCAAATCTGGACTGAGCGTACTGTAGAGGGAGAGAGAGAGAGAGAAATAAATAGTGTTCTTATATATGAACAAACAAATAAGAAGGACATTACAGCAAAAACAGGACTGTAAAGAAACTATTATGCCATGTGCTTGATGGGAGTGGGCGGAGCTAAAGATCTCTGATTGGTGGAATTTTTGCACAGCATCATGGGGGATGTAGTGTTTCTGATGCATTCCAGGAATATTCATGAGCAAATGGGTTATTATTGTAGAAATACACTGTATTTGCATTTCCTATCCATGATTTATTAATTTATTCCTCTTAAAGTGTCATGCGCCGAGACGTTTCCAGATAAAACCCGCACAGCTTTATCTAGGCCACTGACATCATTTAAGACCAAAGAAAATATAAATGTTTAGACATAAAACTTTCAGAAAGAAAGTAAGCGAATGCAGCTTTGAAGCAGTTTATGCAGCTCCGCTGTCTCCTAAGAGGACCTGAAAAGTTTAAAAGACACAGGAGACGTTGTTTTTTTCTCCTCATCCTGAACAAACAGAAGCGCTCGAGCTCAACCTTCACCGGGGGTTTCAGAAAACATCACGCTCGCATGTTTTGTGCTTATAAAATCTTTCCTTTTGTCCCTGCGTTTCCTTTTTACTGTCTGAAGTCACGAAGGCTGTGACTCAGAGAGAGTGTGTGTGGTTGGTAATTCACTGCAGACCGTCAGGAGCTGTAATGTAAACCGCAAAAACATGACTGAACTTCCAGAACGGCAGTATGAGATTTAAAAAAAAAAAGAAAATAAAAAGAAAACAAGCTTTAAATGTCTGCTGAAGTGACTTATAATGCACAGCTTTGTTCGATATGTGACGTATTTTCGACTGAAACATGACTCTTTGGGCGGAGCATATTGTAGCCCCTCCCCTTATAAAAAAATTGCTTTAAAATGTGTATTTCTATGCAATGTTATCTGTTATCTGACGTAATATCAACTAAAATGTAAATAGAAGCGCGAGCATAGTGTAGCTCCTCCCCTTTTTACATAAACAGCCAATAGCATTCTATTTTATCACAGCCCTGCTAGTGAGAGTGGTCGAGCTCAAACACATCAAATGAAAAGCAAATGAGAAGAAGGGGGCGGGGCCTGTCAGATACTCAAGAGCATTTGATTGGTCAGAAAAATAAAATGAATGAAAATGACAATCATCACCTCAGGTACTGAGCATCACTAAGTGTTAAAGACCACAAAAAGCTTGAATTCAGATTTCAGGGGGACTTTAAAGCTCTGAAGAAGCAAACTCAGAGATGTACAGACTTGTGTAGGATGTGTTTAATTGAAGAGGGCAGACGTGTGTTTTAGTATTGATCCTGATGTTATGAAGCCTGATTAGATGCATGCAGTCCAGCAGATATTGATTGTATACTGGATGAATGCAAGCAGAGCGAGAGACAGAAAAAGGCCTGTGTTGAAGAGAAGGTCAATGGATTCTCTTCAGACGCTGGCAATTCCTTACAAAACACAGCTGGGATTATCTTTGCACTCTCTTTTCTTGTATGCTAAACTGCATGCTGTATGTTTAAAGTCTGCAATGTTATTATTTTATTTGAATTTATTAGACTTGTATTAGGGTTCAGGTTGTGGTTATTTTAAGAGTATCTGAATAGTGTTTTAGATTTTATTTATAATTATTTCATTTTATTTTAATACAAAAATGAAAGATGGTCAATAACATTTGTTTTGTTGATAATTAATAATTATATATATATATATATATATATATATATATATATATATATATATATATATATAAATGATTATATATTTTTATACATTAGCATGACTGTATTTTCTTCCAATCTGTTTTTTGAATGTACTAGTTCATTCATTCATTCATTCATTCATTCATTCATTCATTCATTCATTCATTCATTCATTCATTCAATCATTCAATCATTCATTCATCTGTCCATTCATCCATTCATTTAATTATTATTTCATCCATCCATCCATCCATCCATCCTTTCATTCATTTATTCAGTTGAATAAATAAGATTTCATAGTGTCATGGTTACATTGTGTACATTTTAAAGTAGTTTAAACATGCAGCTAAATATTTTTTAGCTAAGCATTCATTCATTCATTCATTCATTCATTCATTCATTCATTCATTCATTCATTCATTCATTCACTCATTCATTCATTCATTCATTCATTCATTCATTCATTCATTCATTCCTTTTTTCCTTCACCCCATTCTATCAGTCCTTTGTAATTAATTAATTAATTAATTAATTAATTTGTTCATTCATTCATTCATTCATTCATTCATTCATTCTTTAATTCATTCATTCATTCAATCATTTGTTAATTAATTCATGTTCATTCATTCATTCATTCATTTAACTAATTAATTAATGAATTCCATCATGTTTATTCATTCATTCATTCATTTAATCATTTGTTCCTTCCTTCCTTCCTTCCTTCCTTCCTTCCTTCCTTCCTTCCTTCCTTCATTCATTCATTCAGTTAAAGAAACAAGTTTTTATAGTGCAGCTATATTGTGTACATTTTAAAGAAGAAGTTTAAACATGAAGCTAAATATATTTGAGCATTTACTCGTTTGTTCCTTCATTCATTCATTAAGTGGAAGAAACAAGCTTTCATAGTTATATAGTATTTGTGTGTGTGTTTGTGTTTGTGTGTGGGTGTTTGTGTGTGTGTGTTGTGGTACGATGCGTAAATCTGTTAAAGTGTAAAGTCTTCAGAGATGATTGTGAATCCCAGTATAATATCAGCTCCAGAGGGCTGAATAAAACAGTACAGACACACAAACACAAACACACAATATGCTGAGCATGCTGGAACTACGGCGTAAACTTAATATTCATATCCAACAGGGATCCATTAGCATTCGGGGAGAAAGAGAAAGAGTAATTAAAAGAGTCGAGCAACAGATTAACACAAATCCACACATGAGATACGACTTCATAAGCCAAAACACACCGTTCACACCAGAACACCAACACAATAATAATAACCTGATAATAGCTTAATACTACTTTTTTATTTTATTTTTTTATGAAAGTTTATATATAAAATGTGATGCCATAGTTTTGTATTATACTAAATTTTATTATTCTTAATTTAAATGAAGTTTTAAGTTGTTGAAAAAATACATATACATACATATATATAAATATATATACACACACACACACACATTATGTTTATTTTATTTTTTACATTTAACTTTTTTTTATTTGAAACTATTATTTATGCTGTTTTAATTTAGTTTAAATTTTTTATTTAGTTTTAATTGAATTGTGTGCATTTATTTTGTTCTATTTTATTTTAATTGATTTTATTTTGTTTTATTTGTGTACATTTTATTTCATTTTATTTAATTTTATTTCCGTGCATTTAATTATTTAATTTCATTTCCGTGCATTTAATTTTGTTTAGTTTTTTTCCGTGCATTTTATTTTATTTTATTTGAGTGCATTAATTTAATTTAATTTAATATAATTTAATTCATTTGTATATTATTTTAATTTATTAATATAATTTTTTGTATTTATTTTTTTCTGCTTAGTCCATTTATTCATCAGGGGTCACCACAGCGGAATGAACCACCAACTGATCCAGCACATGTTTTACACAGTGCATGCCCTTCCAGCTGCTACCCATCACTGGGAAACACCCACACACACCCATTTACACACACCCATTCACACACACACGCACGCGCACGCACGCACGCACGCACGCACTCACACACACACACACACACACACACACACACACACACACACACACACACACACACACACACACACACACACACACACACACAATTTAGCTCATCCAATTCCCCTATACCGTATGTGTTTGGACAGTGGGGGAAACTGGAGCACCCGGACTCAAACCAGCAACCTTCTTGCTGTGAGGCCACAGTGCTAACCACTGAGTCAGCATGCCGCCCTTAAAATAACACATTTTAAAGTATTTGCTCATAGTCGGCTGGTTACATGACACACAAATGAAGCTGTTAACAGAAACTCAGAACAGTGATGTTGAACTGGTCACTGAACATGAGCTGAACGTCCAGACACCTCATTCCACTCCATCACACTCAATTAACCCTTAGCAGACTGAGGACTCGCTAATAACACACACACACACACACACACACACACACACACACACACACACGCGCACACACACATGCGCGCACGCGCACGCACACACACACACACACACACACACACACACACGCACGCACACACACACACACACACAGAAGTAGGTCAGTTTATTAATGTGTGTGGTTTGTCCTGCTAAAGAGCCATTTGTCTTGAGAGAAACTCTACTAATGTGTTAATGAGAGACTCACTTCTGTGCCTGATCCCGGAACAGCTCACCACACCATCACTCACCTTCCTTTGTTCCTTCCTTCCTTCATTGAATTATCTATCTATTTTGTTCAGTTAGTTACCCTGTTTTATATTTTTTATTTTATATTCATTCAATTTTATTCAAACCTTTTATTTTGTATTTTTTCATGTGTTTGTGTGTGTGTGTTGTGGTGAGATCTGTTAAATCTGTTAAAGATCAGTTAGGATAGTTGTTGTGTTGCCATAACAACTGTAAAATCACCACAACAGATAAATTAGGATAGTTGTTGTGTTGCCATAGCAACCGTAGATTCACCACAACAGATCAATTAAGAAAGCTGTTGTGTTACCATAGCAACTGTAGAATCACAACAACAGATCAATTAAGATAGTTGTTGTTACCATAGCAACTATAGAGACACCACAACAGATTAGTGAAGATAGTTCTTGTGTTACCATGGCGACTGTAGAAATCGCCACAACAGCTCAATGAAGATAGTTGTTGTTACCATAGCAACTGAAGGATCACCACAACAGATTAATGAAGACAGTTGTTGTTACCATAGCAACTGTAGAAATCGCCACAACAGATCAATGAAGATAGCTGTTGTTACCATAGCAACTGAAGGATCACCACAACAGATTAATGAAGATAGTTGTTGTTACCATAGCAACTGTAGAAATTGCCACAACAGATCAATGAAGATAGCTGTTGTTACCATAGCAACTGTAGAAATCGCCACAACAGATCAATGAAGATAGCTGTTGTTACCATAGCAACTGAAGGATCACCACAACAGATCAATGAAGATAGTTGTTGTTACCATAGCAACTGAAGGATCACCACAACAGATTAATGAAGAATGGATTATTTTGAAACTGTATAAATGCTGAGGGTTGGGTTGAGGGGTAGGGTTGGGTTGAATATACAGTATGAACAATACAAACATTATTATGACTATGAGAAGACCCCATAAACATAACTGTCCGAGTGCATGATGTTCATGTGAGCTCCCTCTAGTGAACGAATAACCAGCAACATCTGGAAGCACATCTGTATGTATGAGTGTGGAGATTCATCAGCCAGATATGAGTGTGTGTTTTCTGCGCGATTAATTTAGTCATAAATCTGCATGAGTGTAAAACAGAGAGAAGTGTGCTTAGAAGAGCTCTTCAACATGAATAATGCAGACTGACCCGAGGCTGTGCTGCAGTGTGTGTGTGTGTGTGTGTGTGTGTGTGTGTGTGTGTGTGTCTTGTGTGTACTAACAGTCTATAAGTCTGTGTGTGTGTCCTGTGTGTCTGTGTGCCTCTTTGTGTGTGTGTGTGTGTGTGTGTGTGTGCTTATATGCGTATGTCCTGTGTGTGCATTCTTACAGTGTATGTGTCTTTGTGCTTATATACTGTATGTGTGTATGTTTGCCCCTGTGTGTGTGTGTGTACTTATATGTGTGCGTGTGTGTGCTTACAGTATATCTGTCTGTGTGTGTTTGTGCTTATATATGTCTGTGTGTGTGTGATTACATGTGTCTGTTTGTGTGTTCCTCAAGGGAGATTCAAAGTGGACAGAAATGAATGGCTTAGGTCACTTGCTTTAGGAGCCCCTTTAAGCCCACACACACACACAAACACACACACACACACACACACACACACACACACACACACACACACACACACACACACACACACACACACACACACACACACAGTTCAGCTCATGCAAATGAACATGATTTTCCAGAATCCACATTTGTTTCTTAAAGGGACAGTTCACCCAAACTAAACTAAATGTGAACTCATCATATATTCTCCCTCATGTGCTTTAAAACCTTTATGAGTTTCTTTCTTGAGCTGGAGAAATAGAAGATATTTTGAAGAATGCTGGTTGCTGTCACCCATTGACATTAATAATAATGAATGTGTCCCAGCAACCAATATTTTTTAAAATATCATCATTTGTGTTCAACAGAGGAAAACAATCTCAAATAGGTTTTGATCACATGATGGATGAGTACATTTTAGGGTGAACTGTACCTTTAAGCTGTGCTAATATCAAAAGTATCAGTAGATGTCAGTAATACACAGCATCCTCCATTAAAGTGATCATTTTCCTGATGAGTGTGATTTTCTCACCTGTCGTCAGGTATCTGCACATCCCTGGTCCAGGACTCGGATATCTCCGTCACAAAGCCCATATCATCATGAGAGCTGGATGAAGACTGATCTGACAGACGGGCCGGAAGAACAGGCGGACGGTCATCTTCAATGATAACAGTGTCGTCCTGGGGCATATTCACAGTCGGAGACAGCTGGAAGTGACCTGAGAACAACACACAACATCAGGATTCGGACTCAGTTTTGACAATCGTCTGATGAACTAATCCAACTCTGAGATACAAAAGTACACTCGAATCCCTCTTAGGCCCTGGTATTTAATGTACAATTTGTACACCTAGTGATTAAACTAGACATTGCGGTCCTAATTTAAAGTATTTGACAGATGACTTCATGTAAACACAGGTTGCCAGATTAACTCAAACAGAAGCGAGCATGAATGGGTCAGGAATGGTTTTAAAAAGTGCAGCATGAGGTCCACGTGATGTGTTTTTATGAACCTGATTTAATAACTACAATAACAAACCCATTAGAATAGGGGTGATAAGCACTTCAAGGTACATCACATGGCTCAAAATAGCTGGACAAAGCCACAATGAAGATGGAACGTACACTCAATGGCCACTTTATTAGGTACACCTTACTAGTATCGGGTTGGACCCTCTTTTGCCTTCATAACTGCTTTAATCCTTCATGGCTTAGATTTAACAAGGTACTGGAAATATTCCTCAGAGATTTTGCTCCATATTGACATGATAGCATCACATAGTTGCTGCAGATTTGTCGGCTGCACATCCATGATGCCAATCTCCCGTTCCACCACATCCCAAAGCTGCTCTATTGGATTGAGCTCTGGGGACTGTGGAGGCCATTTGAGTACAGTGAACTCATTGTCATGTTCAAGACACCAGTCTGAGATGATTGAGCTTTATGACATGCTGCGTCATCCTGCTGGAAGTAGCCATCAGAAGATGGAGACACTGTGATCATAAAGGGATGGACATGGTCAGCAGCAATACTCAGGTAGGCTGTGGCGTTGACATGATGCTCAATCGGTATTAATGAGTCCAAAGTGTGCAGAAAATCTCCCCCACACCATTACACCCCCACCACCAGACTGAACTGTTGATACAAGGCAGGATGGATCCATGATTTCATGTTGTTGATGTTAAAATCTGACCCGACCATCCGAATGCGGCAGCAGACATGGAGACTCATCAGACATGCAGGCAACTTTTTTAAACAAGGCATTTGCGCCCACAGAACTGCCGCTCGCTGGATATTTTCTCTTCTTCAGACCATTCTCTGCAAACTCTAGAAATGGTTGTGCATGAAAGTCCCAGTAGATCAGCAGTGTCTGAAATACTCAGAGCAGCCCGTCTGGCAGCAACAACCATGCCACGTTCAAAGTCACTTAAATCCCCTTTCTCCCCCATTCTGATGCTCGCTTTGAACTGCAGCAGATCGTCTTGACCATGTCTACATGCCTAAATGCATTGAGATGCTGTCATGTGATTGGCTGATTACAAATTTGCGTTAACGAGCAGTTAGACAGGTGTACCTAATAAAGTGGCCGGTGAGTGTACATACATGTTGAATTGTATTAGAAGCTTAATGGACATAAAGGAAACAGATTATCTGTTTACTTTTTATTTACATTACACAAACACTAGCAAAACCAGCAAATAAAAGTTAGCATTTTGAAAGATTCCATATGTTGGTAATTATTAAATGACAACTGCGTTGTGCAGTTTTGACAAAATCATGCATCACAGTTAAACCTTTTTGAACAGCTTGAAAAGTTGCTGTATTACTAAAAAAAAAAGCTAATATCATCAGAAAAGTAGTCAAAGCTGGATAAAAGTGACATATTTAAAGCCCAGGTGTTAACGCAAATGTGTCTACTTGTGATCTAAACCAAAACCAGATGTAAACAAGCTTTAAAACACCACATAAACAATAATGCACCGTGCAACAACATCAACATTAATTTACTTCAACTGCTACAATAACCTTTAAGTCTGAATAGAGCGTTTCCTAACACAGGTACAGAAGGACAAAAAAAACAGCATTTACTGTAAGTCAACAAACCGTTACCTAAAATACACAAAGCAGAACAAAAGTGCACATGTTCACAATTAACATGAGGGATCTCCGTCCAGACGTGAACTTCTGGAGTTCCTTCCAAGTGTATTTATTTCAACTAGAAGTCATTTCGCAACTTTAGCAGCTTAAGAGTAATCAAACATAATTGCTCTTGGAGGGAAAAATAACCCTGGCGTCCTCCCAGCAGAAATAGACGTGATATTTAGTTTCTCTGTGCGCTAGACAACTAAATATTTTAAGTGGAATAAATGAGGGTATGTGTGTTGTGTGTTGTTCGGCTGAGCGCACGAGGTCTGAAACGCACAACTTCAGCACGTGACAATGATTAATGAGTAGTTCGGTGTTAAAGAGAGGCCACGGTTTGACTCCATACTTAAAACAGTAAAAGTGTATTTGCAAAAGAAGCATAAAAATGTTTTGTGTGACTATTTAATCCTCTTTTATTTATTTAAAGTTCTTAAATAAAATGAGTCCGAATCAGATCAAACTGCACTGCAATAAAAACAAGATCCATTCATTCATTGTCCTTTGGCTTAACCCCTTATTTATCAGGGGTCGCCACAGCAGAATGAACCACTATTCTAGCACCTGTTTTACACAGAGCATGCTCTTCCAGCTGCGACCAATTTAGTTTCATCAATTCACCTATAGCGCATGTGTTTGGACTGGGGGAAACCGGAACACCCGGAGGAAACCCACACCAACACAGGGAGAACATGCAAACTCCACACAGAAATGCCAACTGACCCAGCTGGGAATTGAACCAGCTAACCATTGAGCCACCATGCCACCCGCTTAAATTATAAGATATGATATGATATTATATGATGTGATATTATAATATATTATTTTATTTTATTTTATTTTATTTTATTTTATATTATATTATATTATATTATTTTATTTTATTTTATTTTATTTTATTTTATATTATTTTATATTATATTATTTTATATTATTTTAAATTATATTATATTATATCATATTATATTATTTTATTTTATATTATATTATATTATATTATATTATATTATATTTTATTATATTATATTATATTATTTTAAATTATATTATATTATATTATATTATATTATGTTATTTTATTTTATATTATTTTATATTATATTATATTA